CAGTTGGTTCCTAAGCTGTGGATGATATATTTTAGATATAATTTGTGCCTTTGGACAGGCCTTTTGGAAATGGCCCTGTTTTGAATGATAGATGAAACCGTTCTAATTTAAAGCTAATCATCAATTTTTCTGATTTAGGTGCCCATTTCCATCATCAGAGGGTCTTAGTCATCAAGACTGGTGTATTTCACTAGTGCTAGCATTGAGCCTGTCCACATAGGAGTCTGTTTCCAGGAAAACGAGTTCATGAAAATGAAAATCAGGCTGTTAAAAATTGTTGGAACCTAGGAATGGGAATACTCACTTCCTCATGCCCAGTGCCCTGGAGTTGACATCAGGATATCTCAGCATAATCAGGAAACTTTTATTCATTCATGCATCATGTATTTACTGGGTTTCTGCTATGAGTTAGGTTCTGGTATTAAAGGCTTTAGGAGCTACAAAAATGACTCAAACTCAGTTACTAGTCATCTAGTAATAGGGTTTTTCAGGTGCAGTCATGATAATCATACAAGAGGGAAAATATTGAGAGACACAAGAGTGGTGAGTTATGGGGGGGGGTGTCATAGAAAAATGGTGAGTCATCTGTCTGACCAGCAAGTGAAGGTGAGGCAAAGCCAGGAGTTGATTGACATGGACATGTCAAGCAAAGAATCATGGGTGAGACAATGAAACAATGGAATTCACTGCAGGGTAGGAATGTTCAGAGCTCCCATGTTATGACCAGAACATAGTCAGACCTCCCATGTTAGGTGGTTCAGATCTCCGATGTTAGATGGCCCGACCATGTTAGATGGCTCATGTTAGATGGCCAGACCATCTAGCCTGGGAGATCTGAGCACTGTTACCCCCCAGCTTCTCGGATGCACTGACTTCATTCTCTCCTCAGGGCTGTTAGACCTATTGTTCTCTCTTTGTGATCTACCCTCTCCCCATCCTCCTGCTTTCTTCCCCAGATTGGATCCTACTCATCCTTTAGATCTGAATGTAACTGTCATTTTCTCAAAGAAGTCTGCTCTGACCTTCCAATTTATGTGAGATGCCCCTCCTGCAGTCTTTCGTCTCATCCAATTATTTTCCTTCATAGCTCTTATCATGGTTTATGCTGGTATATATGTTTCTACAACTGTTTAATATCCGTCTCCTCTATCAGGCTGCATGAGCTCCATGAGGTCAGGGACTATACCTATCTTTTCTCTTATTACATCCCCACTGGTTGTTAGGCAGTAAGCTCTCAGTAATTATTGGCTGAATGATAAGTGAATACGTGATTAACAGCAAAGAAAAAAAAAACAACTATGTATAGGAGGAAGCCCATCCCCATTAACACAAACATAGATAGGAAGCATATCATTAATGAGAGATGGATTGTGATCTTGAGAAAGACACATGACTAGATGTCAGAGTTGGGACCTGGCTTTTATGCTCATTTCTTTCGCTACCTAGTTGTGAGACCAGATCCAAAATCCAATTTGTTCAAGCAACTGTCTTTCCTTCTCTGATTTCATAATCTTAGTCTCAAATTGCCCATTTATAAAACTGGGGTAACAAAGCCTATTTAAGTCTAATATTGGGGATAACACATTGAAACTTAATGTACTATTATGTAGGTATTACAAAAATATAAAAATATTAATACATAATATTAGTATAGAGATATTTGCATCTAAATTCTATATCTAATGTTTGTTGGCCATTGTCAAATGAATGAGTTTGGGTTTACATTTGTATTTGCTGCAAAATACTATTTTATATCACCATGGGTCTAAAGAAAAAAAAGAAGAGCAGATGTAAAGCTATATCCTTTGATTACCTGGGTGATATAAAATATTACGGGCTGAATTTGGGTCAAACAGTCAAACATACTAGTCAAGATGAATGCTCTTTTCATTTACTCAAAGGCACTAATGGCTTTGGTAAAAGCAGAACATATTATTTAAGAGGACTAGATAATTAGCCTTGACAAGAAGTAGGCCAAGAATTCCTGTGAATGAATTAGCTAATTCCTTCTATAGACATTGAGCATTTGGTCTTTCACTTGACATCCTAATGAGAGTTCAGTAACAGCTGGAGACACTATAGTAACTGAAGTCAGTGGAGTTGTTTGGGAAGGGCCTAGATTAGAAATACCAGCAACTTAGGATAACATTGTCATATCAATAATGGTCTTAGGGAAGACACAATGATGCCAAGCCAAAAAAACAAAACAAAACAAAACAAAAAAGTGGGTTAAAAAGAAAAACCACATTCATATTTCTTGAACTTTAGGCAAACTGTATGGTTTGTTATGGGGTATTAAGCCATATGGAAGATATCATAAGAAAAGCATACTGGGGTACTGTTTGGTATATTGTTTTTGACATATTTAATTATGTCAAGCATTTTTGATGCAAAAATATTTGTTGAGCACCTACTGTGTATTTTAGCACTTAGGTGAGAAAACAAAAACACATAATACATTATCACTATATTAGAAGAGTTAACAATCATGAAGATAAGACACATTCAAAGGAAAGATAATGATTCCTTTCCATTGCACTGGGGGTGCCATAAGGCCATACATGCTAAGTGTCACTTGAACACATTGGACAATAAGTTTTGTCAGACCTAGGCTAGGGAGACATCTTTGTGGATAAGTGTGGTCATAGTGGGAACTAAGATGGAATTTGAGAATTTTAGAGATGAGAAAAGGCAAATAAATGGGCATGAACAATGAACTATGTGTCAGTCCTTTTTATGTTGCTGTAACGAAATACCTGAGGCTGGGTAATTTATAGAGAAAAAAGGTTTAATTGGCTCACAGTTCTGGAGGCTGTTCAAAAAGCATGGTGTCAGTCTCTGTTCAGCTCCTGGTGAGGCCCAGGAGGCTTTCAATCATGGCAGAAGGCAAAGGAAGAGCCTGGGTGTCACATGGTGAGAGAGGGATCAAGAGAGTGGAGGGGGAGGTCCCAAACTCTTAAACAACCAGATCTCCTGTGAGGTAACTGAGCAAGAACTCACTCATCACCAAAAGGACAGCATTAAGACATCTGTGAGGGATCCACCCCATGATCCAATACCTCCCACTAGGTCCCACCTCCAACATTAGGGATCACATTTCAACATGAGAGCTGGAGAGGAAAAACATCCAAATTATATCAAACTGGAAGCTGGAAGTGCCACTCCCTTTCTCTGACAGTTTCTTCTGACCTGGCTGTAGGGACATGAACATACCATGCCCCTACAGCCAGATCAGAAGCAACTGTCAGAGAAAGGGAGGAAAGAAAATCAGGAAAATATTAATTCTTCACATTTGTTTTACAACGCAATTGTATAGAACTTTGCAATGTAAAAATGAGCTCCTGCCCAACTCTTATCACATATGAGCCACAAAACCAAAACTAAATCCAGAAACCTCAGTGAGGCAGGCAGCATGGATGTTTTTCCCAGAGAGTGTGTATCCTGGGCCTTGTGATTACTGCCCCAAAGCACTTTGCTCTCCATAGAGCTCACCTGATGGGGTGAGACACCTCTTAAACGGTGAGGCTTTTCCATGCCAGGTTAGGATTTGGTTTTTCTTCTGTGAGGAAAAGAAATTGACAATGTACTGAACTTAAAAAAAGGTAAAGAAAGAGTCTGCCGTAAGCCACCAACAGATCATCTTGACAATGACCTTGGACAAGTCTGTAGACTGTGCTTTTTAAAGAATGGTTTTGAGTACTTGAGTACTTGGAAAAACCCTTGCAAACACGGGTTCACCAAAAAGCCAGTTTAAGTAACTCATTTCCTTCTCTAACATGCATACAATAGAAAACTGTAGCTTGTAAGACACTTGCTTCAGATACCACCATGGAGAAAATAGACAATTATGGAATGAGTGATGGATTAGTTTGCATTCAGTTTTAAAGTTGAAGGCAATACTGGAACTCAAGTAGCTCTGCTCCATCATTTTACAAATGAGAAAAGGGAGAGGAGCCATGAAGTGATTTGCTTAGTTACATCCTCTTCCTCTTCGACCTCCTCCTCCTCCCCATCATCAGCATCCAATTAGATTACATGTATTGAACGTTTAGTATTTAACTGGTATATTTCAAGTGCTTAACATGTATTGACTCATTTGATCCTCATAGTAACCCTATAAGGTAACTGAGGCTCAGGGAGATTTAGTCATTTGCCAGTATCATGAGGCTGTAAGCAATGGAATGGGGATTTGTACCCAGAAAGGTTGGTTTGTAAGTTGGTGCTTTTACTATACATATAGCCTTTCAAGGCCATATAACTAGTAAGTAGCAGAGTAAGCTGTCTAAGGTACTAATGAATCGACTTTCTGGTGATATAAGATGTTGTCTTTGCTGTGTCCATGTCAACATTTTTATCAGTGAGTTGAATAAGATATAAAAAAGCAGTTCATCAGATTTTCAGAAGTCATGAAATAGGGGTCTGAATAAGAAATACTTTGGAGAACAGAAGCAGGATCCCAAAAGATTTGGGATGAAGAATGAAGCCAAAAAGTTTTAACTTCAGAGGAATATAGTAAGCATTTCATACAGGTCCCCAAACCGATTGCCCGAGGATGGCATTAAGAATGTGCATGAGAGAACACAACATGGGGGAGGTAGGAGTGGGGAGATTTTTATCAAGTTAGTTCTACATGAATTAACACGCAGAGTTGCCCAGCTAACGGCCAGTGAGCAAATGATTCTCCTGTACCCGACATTACTTACATCCACTGGATCTTCATCCCAGCATCAGTCAAGGCAGCTCTGGACTCTCCAAAGCTCTTTACAGGAATGGCCGAGATCTTTCTTCCTCCTTTCTAACATGTTTTTGCTTTGATTCCTCATTTTGGCCTCCTCTTTTGTCATCGTGACTTTGTTCCTGCCTCTGACCTTTTATTCTACATTTTTGTTTTGGCTTCTCCTCGCACTTGAATGCTGATTTTTTTCTATGGGGCCCTGATTTGACTTACCTCTTTGGCTCTGTGTCTTGTGCTGCATGAGGAGAAAATCTCTTTTTTCCAGCCCGTCAGAGCTCAGCCCAGGAAATGGACCTTCAGTGGGTATGTTGACAGCACACCATCACCCTGCCGAGGCATATATCATGAGGAAAAGGTTTGGACCATATCGAGAGTACTGCATCCAAGTCTGGCCAACCCTCTTCCTCACTGTGAGGGTATCTATGTAAATTGAAGTACATTATTAGAAAAAGGACAGGTTGTGAATAGACATGAACACTTGGTGATACACAAAATTACTGAAAGAGTCAGAAATGCCTAAAGAAAGGGAGATTATGGGTGTAGCAGATCAATCTTGGAATTTGCAGAGGATCCCACTGTGAAAGACTTTTTGTCTTTCAGGCTTCTCTTGTGGTGTGGCTCCTGGAAGCCGCCTAGCACCTGTGGCCAGAAACTGTAGGAAAAAGGAGTAGATTTCATCTCTGTAAGAAACTTCCTTGTGGTGAAAACTGCCTAGAGATGGAATGAGAAAATGGTGAGCTCCCCATTATTGGAGGTGTTCAAGTATAGGCTGAGCGGTGACAATTACGAAAGCTGTATGACAGTCCCAAACATCAGCGTGTGCCTAGATTCTTTCATTTCGGGTCAGTTCCACACAAGACAGGCTCCGTGTCAGTGAGGACCCAGTGGTGTTTTTGAACAGGTGGCAGAAAAACAGTGATATATAAAATAAATGCAGAGAGAGATCTCCACATCAAGCCAACCCCTCCTCCTTACCTGTAAGTTCTCCATGTGAGTGAGCTCTGGGCTCCCAACTGCACTTGTCAAACTCCCATTGTTAGAGCACAGATAAATGCTTCCGGCCACCCAAGCAGGAGGGGCCCACCTCAACTTGAGGGCTGCTCTATTTTAGTTTTCCGTAGCTGGAGATTGAGTATCACGCTTTTCTAATCTTGTACTTCTGAAAGGGCCCTGTTTTCTCTTGAACCCTACCCACTCCTTTCACAGATCAAATACCAACTACATCAGACAGATAGAAGCTCGAATGAGAAAATGCATTTTAATAAAACCCCATTGATTTTTGTGGATGCAAGTCAAGGAACGGGCACCTAAAGAGTCTTCCATCCCCTGCCACCTCCCCCCTCTCTCCTGGCCTACACCGGGCGGTCACACATCGATTGGCTTCCTAGATAATAGATGGTGCCACCCGGTAGGGACCTCTGGGGACGCGCCGGGAGCTGGAAGAGTCGCACGCAGCAGCCCAGCCCTGAGTTAATCAAACTAGCAACAGGATCTCAAGCAGCAGCAGCAGCAGCGACTGCGGTGGCAAGAGTAGCGGCGGCGGCGGCGGCGGCGGCGGCGGCAGCGTTATGCGTGATTACTGACAGGCACCAGCTGCTGCCGCCACAGCCGTCTCAAACGCACTATGTGGACTCTCCGATCTAGAGGCAGATTCCTGACTAATCCCAGAGGGCTGGCCCAGCCTGTGCTCCCCGGGCTGCTAGGAAGCGATGACCACTCTTGTTAGTCCAAGTTGAAGAAAGCCGGGCTGTGCCTGGGCGCCGGGAGAGGCTGTAATATTTAGAAGCCGCACAGGAGAGGAACATGAACTGAAGAGTAAACATGTATGGAAATTATTCTCACTTCATGAAGTTTCCCGCAGGCTATGGAGGTAAGTATCTCCCTTGGGCTTCACTGCCTGGACCTGTATGAGGGACTGAGAAGAAATTGGGAAATACGAATGACTGAATTAGTACTGAATTAAAAGGAGAACATGTATGTTTCTATGTGTATATAGTGTATATAACGTTTCTGTGTGTGTGTGTGTGTGCACACGTGCATGAGAGAGAGGAGAGGAAGGGAGAATGGTCCGTAGGTGAGGATACGTTTGCATATCAGATTGAGGATATGGGGATATTCTAAGGAGAGTGTAAACCAGCATGCTTGAGAATGTGTCTGAGACAAAGATAAAATAAGAGCATTGTTATAAGCCAGTGTGTTTGTGTGGGTGTGAAAAGTGGAAGAGTTAAGGGGGAATTACTATGATGTTCCTATTAGCCAACTTGTAATGAGAAAAAAATGTGATTAAAAAGGTTCTGCCCCTCTTGAGGTTCCTGGGATACTTTGTAACAAGGGGATGATTGTTTTACTGGAAAGCAGATTTCCCTTTAATTGGATTTTTAAAAACAAAACATAGTGCTTTAATTTGCTACTGTGTTTTCCTTTCCCTGTTTTCTTTCCTTTTGATTTGCTAATAGCCTCTTCCCTCCTCCCCTGCTGCTGCCCCCAATTCTATTGCAAGGGTTGAGGCAATCACTTCCACTCTGAGGGTAGAGATCTGTTGGTAGGGGGTTGGGGCTCTTAAATAATTGGCAAACTGAAGATTCCAGTCACTGTGCCAGGCAGGGCAGCCCAGTCACACTTCACAGAAGCTTCCGGAGACTAGGTCCTCAGGCTGCCTTAACGCCCAAGCACATCCGTCCCAAGGATCCCTTGATTCAGTGACAGAAACAGTGCAGCCACCCAGCTCTGAGTAAATGGAACCAACAGCTGACCCACTGGCCTCTCGCCTGTCAGTTGGAGGCATGTAGCTTATGTTGTTGGGAGCCAAAGGAGGATTCTGGCAAACAAGACAAAGCAGAAATTCTTACAAGGTCTTGAGAACTGAAAAGTCCCTGCTCTCCAGACTTCCTCCATGGACCAATTCATCTGAAGGCTTGGGAGTAAAGCTTGCCTACCTTGGCTGGGCAGGACCCTCTGGAAGGCATGGTGAAACATTGCAAGGTAGAATTGATCTCTGACACCAGGAGGTGTTACACCAGGGAGTTTGCACATTCATTCAGGGTAATTTTAATGAGGCAGGCATGGTGTTGGGCACTGGGAATACAAATATGAATGAGACACAGTCTCTGCCCTTTGGGACTCGGGAAGGCTTGTTAAACAGACACATTATAATACTGCATGGTGTGTGTAATAGCAAACACATGAGGAGGTTGCACTTGGACTCCGGGTGAGGGCCATGGAAATGTTCCGGAGGTAATCTTCAAGTTCTTCAGGCCAGTCTGATGACAGAGTGAGAGTGGTGGCCAATGCTGTGACCTGGGCATTTAATCTCTAGTCTATAGCTGGGCTCCAGTTGTGAAAAGCCTCAACTCCCATCTCAGTCCCATTCACAGCTGAGAATGGCTTTTTCCTTTACATTTCAGTTCATTTGTGAGAGATGCATGCTCATTCTCCACCAGATTTGTGGGCCAAAGTCTGTGAGGCTATGACTTCATTAATACCAAAGAGACCCTCAGAGACAGTTGGGGTGAATAAAAGGGTTGAAGATAGAAAGATTTAGGGAGAGAAGTAAAGTAAGAGCCAGAGAAAGAAGGTCTAGTGAAAATTCTATGGAGGCTGGAATCTTGGAATGTTAGCATCCTAAGGACCTGAAACAGCATCTTAGACTCTCATTTTATAGATGTGTAAACTGCCGCTCAAAGGAAGGCAGGGACTAGTCCAAGTTTATTTGGGGCTGAGTTTCAGAACACTTCTGGAAAAGCCCCTTACTCAAATTTATAATATTATTGCTTTCATATAGTGAAAAGAGCATGAGGAGGAGGGGGCAGAGAGAGACAGTGTACTGCGTTTGGTTCCCAGTTTTTCACTTACTAGCTGTGTGATCTGAGGCAAGCTAGTATACCTCTCTGAGCCTTAGCATCTTTCTATCTAAAATGGGATTTATAATCTCATCCATAGAATATTGTGAAAATTAAATGAGCTAGCATGTGAAAAGCAGCTGCTATAGTGTTGTACACAGATTTGCACCTAATACAATATTTTCTTCCCCTCTATTTTGCTCAGGGACTAACATGCAAAATAATTAAAAATCAGACATTATTGTAAAATAATAAATAAGGAATCTGGGAAAATAAAATTAAATCCACAAAGACCCTCATATGTTGCTGGCTTAGCTTTTCATAATTGTGGGAGCTCTGGTACTTAGTGTAATTAGATTTCAGATAGAGGACAACACAATGGTTCAGCTATGGAAGGAAATAGTTCAGTACAGCACAGGGAACTTGAGGGGAAAGGGCCATGTAGGTTGTCTACATGTCTCCTCTAATGCTACTTTTCTTGTCATTCCTGAGGGAGGAGAACAATTATTTTGTTTAGTTCTGTTGATGGTTTCCATTTTGTTTGCATGTGCCAGTTAAGAGGAGGCCTGAATGCTGAGCCAAAGGACTCCTGCCCCATCTGCAGGGAGGTCTGCCTCAGAACTTTCTGTGATTAGGGAGAGGGATGGCGGAGGACTCACCAGCAGTCATGGGGAAACTGTAGGATCAGAGTGGACCTCACCTTCAGCCTCTAACCTCCCTTGCCTCAATGCAGCAAGTTGCACTGCACCTATTAAAATATTTGGTGTCTAAGCCCCTGCCCTTTTACATATTAGCATATGAAATTATAGAGGGCACCCATGATTTGTGTAAGAATCTCCAGGGAAGCAAAGGCACCTTTGGAAACTAACACCTGAGATTTGTGTCTGGGACTGTGCTTACCAGATGTCAGAGCATCATCTGATCAGTGAAAAAGAGACTGCTCAAATTGGCCAAAGTGTCATGGCTACCTGGGTGACAGTGGCTCTACAAAGGTGCCCAATGCCCCAGTTTTGGATCCTACCATGTGATGATGAGAGAACCCTTCTCTTCTCCTTCTCTGCCAAGTCCAGGGTTTGCCAGCTGCTCAGTAATAGGTTTGTTTTTCTGGGATGAGACAGTTGCTGCCTCTTAGAAGATGGCAAAACAAAGCCTGTAATCCCCCCATCCAATTGTGCAGTAATCCTCAGGGTGAGAAGGAGATCAGGGAGAGAGAGGACTTCTCTCATTTCATTTAACAAACACATGGTAACACTAATACTAGCTACCATTGTAAGTAAGCACTTTACCAGCCCCAACTCGTAATCCTCATAACAATCTTAAGAGTGGGTACTCCTTTTAAAGATGAAGAAACAGAGGCATCGAGAGGTGAAATAACTTGCTTAAGGTCTCATAGCTAGAAAATGGCACAGCCAGGGCTTTGAACCCAGGCAGACTGGCTCCCAGAGTTTGCACTCCGCTAAGCCGCCTCTCACAGCTTCTGTGGGTAACACATTTGCTCTGCAAAGCCAGGGGCAGCAGCATACCCCCGGGGAGCTCCTGGTGCTCCAATCCAACCTCAGAAATGTAGCCTCAGCACTGACTGGTTGTTGCAGACTCGATGGGCTGGCTATTGAGGAATAAGCCACAGGATAGTTTAAGAGATACTGAGAAGCAACAGTGATCTCTGCGGAATTAATTGGTGGCTTCTCTTGGGAACATACTGATTTGCAAGAGTCCTGTCCAATTGACCCTGGCCATTCATGCAGAATATTTGCTTTTTCACCTGAAAATAGCCACAGAGAAGGGGTTGAGTTGGAAGTGCTTGTATGTGTGTGTACATGCTAGAACATATTTTTCCCCTCCACAGATATGTGGGTGGCTAATTGGAACCTACCATGAGCATAAGTGGTTACGGTTTATGTGGGAAGGAGTAACTGTTTATGTGATTTAGGAAGGAACATATTTAGTATAAACTATTTTCTAAAACATTTACAATCTCACCAAGAGATAGAGAGCTGAATAGCAACTGGGGGAAGAAATTGTGCAAAGAGTAATCTAAATGCCCCACCTCTTCCTTCCCCTCATTATGAAGCTTCTAGATCTGCAGAGAACTTAGCCACCAGCATTGGGTGGCGAGCGTCCCAGAGGAAGCTGGTGTTTTCTCCTCTTTTTTAAAGTAGAAGAAACAGAGGCCCAGGGAATGGAAGTATATTTTCTAGAATGTGTGGACTTTGGTGGCTCTCATGAGATTGACTCAGCCCTAGCTCAGTGATAAGAAAAAAGTGAAAATACAGGTTGAGTATCCCTAATCCAAGCATCTATAATCTGAAATGCTCCAAAATCCAGAACTTTTTGAGTGCCAAGATGATGCTCAAAGGAAATGCTCATCGGAGCATTTTGGATTTCAGATTTCTGGATTATAGAGGCTCAATTGCTAAGTATAATGCAAATATTTCAAAATAAAAAAAAATCCAAAATCCAAAACACTTCTGGTGTTTGTTAAGCATTTTGAATAAGGAATACTTAACCTATATCAACTCATTTCATAACTACAACACCACTTAAACGTTGGTAGTTTTCTTATCCTCAATACACAGATGTGAAAACTGGGGGACAGAGAAATTAATAACTTGCCAAAGGGAACTTGGCTAATAAATGATACAAGTGGTATTCAAACATGAGGGAAAGCAGCAGGTCCGGATGTTAATCCCAGCCCTACCATGTCCTATACTGTACGACTCTGTAAATTCTTACAGCAGTTACCCAGCACAGTCCTTCCTGCCCCTTCCCAATCAATAGTTGGCCTCTCCCAGGATTTTGACCCTGGCCCTTTCTCACTAGAACACTCCACATCCTGACTCCTGCTCTTCGCAATTCAATCCCCAGTTTTGGTTCCCTTCCTCAGGGCTCCCAGCCCAGCCCAATCTTCTCCCTACTCTTTCCACAAAAGAGCTACTCAGACACCAGGGATGAGCTCATATGCATTTCTTACATTTGAATTATTATCAGCATTTTCAAAGGGACCTTCACATAAACATTTAGGCTGCACAAT